AAGTGGAATAGCAAAATTGCCTATTAATCGATCCCATTTATTCACCCCCGGGGTCAATAGCAACACAAAACAGATTGAAGTTGTATTCCCTTCATATGGTCTCACGCTAAAGAACGAATATGAATTGAGGGTGTCAAAGTCTTTTATTTGACGATGCTGTCAGAATCGGAAAAATACTTTGCCGATGATGCGATGATTAATGATTATGGAGTAGGTTCTGGAATGATAGTTTAGAGAGAATGCCGAATTACTCGGAGAAAACCTACCCTCATATCACTTGAGTCACCAAATCTTCATATTACATCAGTTGGCATCGAACCCTTATCGTTGCTGTGAGAAGCCATCTGAGCCATGGCACAGCCACTGAGCGTACTCCAGACGGTAATTAATTGCATGAAGCTGAGTCCATCTTAATAAGCTAACAGCTTCTTGTCTACTCAGAAAAATTCTGGTCAATTTACACAAACCGATGGTTCATTACTATGTTCACACGAGCCACCACTGATTCCTGCCTTGAGCCACATCCTCCTATCCTGTTGTTTTAAGATACATTATGACATTATACTCCTATATATATCTAGATATTCGTAAGGTTATCTCTCTTTCGTCTCTGTATTTCTTATGCGTGCTACGTGGTGTGTCTTCCTCATCCTTAGTTTGATCACTATAAAAATATTTGGCGAGGAAATGCTAGAGAGTAAGTTATCTGTGATTTGAGGTTTTCACGGCCGTGACTATGAAAAATGCTGTCTTCTGGGATGTGATGCCGTGTACATCTTGTATGAACCGACGTTTCGTAGGAACATATCTCCTCCGTCTTCAGGGTAGAAAAATCCGCGAGCGAGGAACCAGCGTGAGCAGATGTTTGGAGACTAATACTTTCCTCCGAAACGTCGGTTCATACAAGATTTACAAAGCGTCACATCCCAGAGGACGGCATTCTTCAAGTTATTCTTGGTGTCTTTAATTAAGAACCACACCACGAAGACTTAAAAATGGAGTGGAGTTGTAACTCCACCTCGCCACTAGATGGCAGTGGTTGGTTAGCTTCACTTTACCACCGGAGAGACAGGCCCCAGTGCCAAGTGGATAGAAGACTGTGTGGAACCCAGAGCCTTATACACAAAATCATTTGTATTGGGCGCAGCAAGTTTCTCAGAAAGATATATAACTTGACCAGACTGCACGACCTCCAGTCCTAGAAAACAATAATATTTATAGGCAGCGCCGCCAGAACTCCAAATGTCACATTTATGTTAGAGAACACAAATGAACACAAAGGATTTCTATCGAATTGATAGTAAGAATTAATCGACTTTAATTTTTTTTTCAGTTTCCTCGTAAATGAAATTTTAATTCGTCACTGTAGTAGGTTTAGGGCACGTAGCGTAGTTGGTTGAGGTACTATGCTACAAGTCGGAAGGTCGCTGGTTCGATCCCCGATGAAGTAATTAGCTTTATCAATTGACCTAATCCTTGCAGCCTCACTATGGCCCTGGAGTCGACTCAGCCTCTAACAGAAATGAGTGCCAGGGATCTTCCTGGGAGTAATAGGCGGCCGGAGCGTATGGCTGTGAGCCAACTGTATAGAAGATGTGGGAGCCTCGACGTCTCACAACCCTATGGGCCTCCATGGCCTGTTATAAGGATATATTCACTTACTTGTTTACTATCGTTAGTTCTGAAATTAATTTTAATTCTTGTTACATCACAGTAATTGTACACAATTCGCGTGAAGAATACCTGCCCTGTATACAGCGTGCACGTGTATAAACTGTCCAAGCGATCGTCTTTAGTCTTATTAATGTATTGCTTTGAACAAGGGAGATCCCATTTGTAATCTGCTCGCTATGTTACTCACGGAGTGTGAGGGAACACCGGAGATGACGTGTTGCTCTCTGCTCATTGCCAGGAAGTGTAATAGTGATTGACAACTACCGCTTGTACAGACCAGGCTTCAAACTACCAGTGGTGCAATGAGCAACCTCATGTAACAGAAATGTCCTTTGGATATAACAGATTTCTAGTAAACCTTAACAACATATAAGCATAGTTAAAATGTTCAGCATTGTGCAGAAGCTGAACTGCTTAACAATGATAGGCCTGTGTGTAGGGATAGGAGTGTTTAGGAGCTGATTCCGCTACAGTGGTGAACAATTATTTTAACTTTCTTGTATACGCAGTATATATTAAAGCACTGTGATGCTGAAAATAAATATATACCAAAATTTTGACGGATTTAGAAAATATCAACACACTAACCAAGGAAAGATGGTTTTCTGAAGCTGTCTCTCTGTATTTTCAAACACTCGACGGCGTTCAGAAGGCTGTAACCGACTCCATGAGGACC